ATCCACCACAGGAGTTGTGCTTGCCATGCCATTGCTACTTGGAACAGCTGCAAGGCTGGCACAGCAGAGCTCAGCCCAGAGCAAAAGCACTGCTGGGCCCTCTAAATCCCACCAGTACAGAGCAAGTTAGTCTGTACCAGGAATTAAAGTGAAACAGTTGCTATTCTCAACTCTTGCACCCTCCTCACAGTTGCTTCCTATGCTGGGCACAAGTGCATGAACCTATAGTGGTTTTCCAGGCCCAGTATTTTGGGGCCTAGTTCTTCTTCATTGATGGGAAACCAATTGCATTGTGAAATAGGAGAGGGGAGTTGTTAGTGTGATATGAGAAAGAGGAACACACAGAACCAGTCTGATAGCTGGGGTTTAAATGTGGAAATGAGCAGGAGAGCTGCAACTCCCTGAGTCAGGCAGTCCAGCAGGATGGGCAGGGGTGGATGTGGGATGCTGGCCCCAGTCTCTGGCCCTGGTAAGCAGTGGTTCTGCTCCACTTGCTGGGTAAGCCTGCCTCTTGGCCAGCGTAAATACAGGCAAGGAGAAGCTTAGCTCCCTTGTGCTGAAGTAAAAATGGAATTGGAGTTCAGTTTTCAGGGAAAAAAAAAAGTTATGCTCACTGATCTCTCTCTTTTTTAAATTATTATTGTAGCTTCAAAGGGATTATAGAGTTATATGAAAACAAGCAAAAAATCTTGTCTGCTCTGCTTCTTCTGAACTGTTTCTTCTGTGCTCAACCTTCATCAGGAAACAAAAAGTCCAGAAAAAACAAATTCCACTCATCAAGATTTTGGAGGCACAGGACATTTGAGGTCAATAGAAGAACCTTCAAAGTCCCAGCTCCTGAGACATTTGGACATAAACTGTTACAAAACAAAATTTTTCAGCAGTTCCAGGGACAGAGCAACTGCAGCTCAGAGGGAGCCCAAATTAGTGGTTTATAACTGACCTTCAGTAGATGACTCTTCTGTAGAGTAGTTACCCTGAGGATAGTATGCAGAGGCAAGTGATCTTTTAAAGGCTACTCAGAAAATCAGAGCTGCCAGATCAAGGTGGTATAGTTTTTCTGTGACTCTCTCTGATGTCTTATGCATGAGGTCTTGTGTGTAGGGAAATGAGTATCAAGTGTGATGGTGCTCTTAACTTGAGAGCTGAAGCAGTAGTGGAAAGAAGGATATGGAGAGCTCTTCCCTTTCCCAGTAAGACTTAGTACACAAACTAACAAACAAGCAAACGCAAAAAGAAAACCCACAAAAAAAGTCTGAAGAGAGTGTGGAACAGTGAAAAATGAATGAAATTAGGGAGTGTCAGCTAATAATCCTGTTAAGTAATGGCACATGGTTATGGGATTATGGGGAGCTGTAGTAAGTTGATATTGCCACAATATACAATTGCTGCCTAGGGCCCTGAAGGTTCTGAAAGAAAGCTTCTATACACAGCATGAAAGTTTTCTTGTCTGCAGCAATGGCTGTCCTAATTGTTTGATTAATGAACTCATTAATCTCAGTATTACTAGAAGAAGCACATTGACCTCCTGACTGATCACAATTAAAACATAAATGCCATTTACTCAAGGCTCTGGTTAGACATCTACTTAGCAGCAGAAAAGCCCCAAACACACCCACTTCACTAGCAGTATCTGGAGGTTAGGAGAGCGTCACAACAACTGCAGGTGGAGGGCAGGCCATTACCTGCAATTATACCAGCATTTGCCTGGTTATTAAGGTTATAACCAGTCTGGAAACACAGTCCTCCATTGAATCCACAGCCAGGCTCCTGCTGACTTCCCTGGAGTTAGGATTTTACTCTGCGTCATCCCAGAGCGCAGCAGTCAGGAAGTGTAATTAAACCCTGCGCACAGACCAAGCCCAGCTCAGAGTTAAACATCCCAGAATAGTGCTGTGGAGGAAAACGCAGGGTGTTCTGCTCCGAGGCTGCAGCACCCCTCGCTATGCTGTCATCCTGTTGGTATTAACTCATGGAATCCCACTGTTGTATTGTGTTCCTACAAGGTAAGCAGTAGTGGAAAGAAGGCTACTGACCCACTGTCTCCCTGCTATAAAAAAGGCCACGCTGACTTTGTTGGAAAGTACATTAACGTACAATGATGGCATGGTTCAGCTATCGTGTTGCTTGATAGACTGCAATAAAGTTATTTCAGTACCTCGACTCGTGATTTTTGAGTCAACGTGGCCAACCCCCTGTTTGGAGCTTGAACAAATGCCTTTGGAATGTGTCGCTGGTGCTTTTTTGTCCATTACGAGTTGCGGCTCACTGGATTCGATGAACAGAGGTGTCTCCCAGGGGCCAAAATACAAGGTGATGTATCTGAAGTCATTTCAGCTAGCTGTATTCACCCTGGCTTCCTCGGTAGGCCAAAATATTAATGTTCTAGGCTTTCACCTGAGGTTATAAGAAATCGTTGTATCTTTGAGATGCCAGGCCAGAATGGTGTCAAACTTCAAATCAGATTCAGTGTCCAGGGTCTTTCAGTCATTGCAGACTGCCCATCACTGCTATAGCAGGGAAAGGTTTCATCACTGCTTGTGCTATTGTGTGGGCTTTTGCAGTTTTTCTGTCACTTGCCTCCAGCTCTGCAGAGCTGAAACAAACGCAGAGGTACACAACTCCAGCTGTGGCAGTGGGTAGAGTTGACAGTTGTCCCATTTCATTCAATTCTGAAATGTTCAAATGATTTTTGTTTTTGTTATAGGTTGCTAGCAGGCTGAAAGACTTGAAGGTCAAAGGCTAAGAAACTGACTGCTGTTTTATCCACAGTGAAATAGAAAAATGGTAGTGCTGTAGTAAATTTTCCTCCCACACAGGCATGAAGTTAACAAGTTTGCACTCAGATAAAAACAAGAGGTTGCTTCTGTAACATATCCGTGGCTACCAGTCTGTCAGCTTTCTAAATGGCCTTTCTGTTGCTCCGGTTAATGACAAATTGGGACTCTGCCTGCTTCATATCTGCATTTGTCATGGTAACTCATCTGTCTGGGCCTTCATCTCTGGTTCCACCATTAAGGATCCCCAGAAAAGCAGGCTGGGGCTCCCTGAAATTTGCTGTCACCATGGCGATGTGGGACAACACAGAGCAACAACCTCATTTCCTTACCTCCAGCAAAGTTAGAGGGAGGCAGAAATTCAGTATTCAGTGGCCAGCAGAAAACAGTAACCTGACAAAAAGTCAGCCTACTGTCAGTCTTGATCACATAGCTCTTGTCTGGAAAGTTCTCTGAAAATTACATGAACCCTGATGAGATGATTTATTTTTTCCCATCCAAGGCTGAATAAAAATACCATATCATTTGTAGGAACTGTCCCTCAGTGCCACATCCACACGGCTCTTGAACACCTCCAGAGACAGTGATTCCACCACCTCCCTGGGCAGCCTGTGCCACTGCCTCACCGCTCTTACTGAGAAGAAATGGTTCCTAATATCCAACTTGGCACAACTCAAGGCCATTCCTTCTTGTCCCATCTCTGTTACCTAGGAGAAGTGGCTAGGTGAAACATGATGTGAGAGACAGGGTGAGGTAAGATGGTGTAGATTTAGGGTTTTTTTAAGCACATGCTAGCAGCAGGTGTAGTCGCGTTCTTAAGAAGTGCACAGTAGTTTTTGATCAAATAAGTTGTACAGTGCTGGAAAGCAGTGCTCCAAGTAAGAGCAAAACCACAACAGCTTTCATTTTTACCACTTAGAAAACAGCTCCTACTTAACACAGCAGCTCAGCTATTCTTAGCATCTCTAAAATGCTGAAACGCTAAATGAGGCAGTAGGCTATCATGTTTTTTCTCACCAAGAAAGCCTATTGTTGGCATGATACCTTAGCAGAAAGCAGCAGTGTTTGGAGGAGGATCCTCCCCACTGACATAGGGAACCATGGCCTGTGCATTGTGGCATTGTGCCTGCTTGAGGCCAGGTGCTTGTTTCCATCCATGGAGCTATTAGTACAGGTGAAGGAGCTTCAGGCAACCCAGCAGCCATGAACATTGGTGGAGAGTTTATTTGAGATTCATCTGATGGCACTGAGGAGGGTGATGGAACAAGCAGAACTAATTTCATTACTGTATGTTGTTTTGTCTTATGTAGTCCACAAACATTCATGAACTGTTAAGTAAGTAAATGACATGCTTGGGTTTTTATTTCTGTACCCTTACACATAAGCAAAGTTCTTAAACTGCTCTTCAGGAGAATGGTGTGGCAGGCTTGAAAACTAGGCCTCTGAGCTCTTGCAGCGGGGCGCAAAATCCAACAGAGCTGCACCGCCATGCTGAGCTGTGCCTTATGTTTGCTCAGACCACCATGAGAGGCACAGTTACATGCCTTGGCCAGGGCCAAGTTCCATTAAGATGGAAACCCACACGTTGTCCCCGATCCTGTGCCTTTCCCCCAGCCATTAGCCAGAGGTATGCGATATTCGTGCTTCGTTAGGCTCCGGTTCAGCAAAGCATGGAGACCGGTGTGCTCAGCCGCTTGGCAGCTTCCTTCCTCCTCTGGGGCCCCCACGATTGTTTAGTTGAAAACCCTTTAATTTTTTGATTTATTCTGTTTATTCCCTTAAGTGCCTTAGACATTACATCTCGATTTATGCCGGTAAATCTTTCTCTTCTTGTTTCCTATGATCATAAACTGATTTAGGCTTGTTTTAATCTTGCGGTGACTCAGGTAGATTTATGCTCATAAAGACAAATGAGGTGGAGACTATTTCCTCTGGAAGGACTGCTGTGATTTCAATTTTGTTTTCTAACTTACGGTAATATTCATTATGCATTTTAATGAAAAAATACATCTCCGAGATGACAGAATTCTTCATCATATCCATGTGCATGTTCAGAGAAGGATATAAAGAAATTCTGCATGAAAATATGTGTTAGGGATGAGTAACACACTCTGTGTACTTACAGCTGGTCTGGACTCTGCGTATCTATTACATCTGCTATCAAAATTTGCTATCTCACATGTATGCAAATTTATTATTATTATTTTTTTTTTGTAATTGTAGGCTGGCAGTGATGGGGAAAGTATTGGAAATTGCCCGTTCTCGCAACGTCTCTTTATGATCCTATGGCTAAAGGGTGTCATATTTAATGTCACAACTGTGGACTTGAAAAGGTGAGATCATAATAGGAGTTCTCATTTTTAGAACAACTTTACCATGATGGTGATTTAAAAGAATGAGTCTCTTTGATTTGAAATGCACGCACGCAGGTTAGTGCACATTACTTACACTGCAAGTTGGCACTGTGCTAACAGGCTGTGCGCCTGGTGCCTCTTTCAGGTTCACTGGTATGAGGTGGATCAACTTCTTTGAAACATTTGAGATTTTAATCTGTTTTCCAGTAGGTCTCTGTAACACAAGCCTGAAATTGTAGTGTTTCAGGGTGCATGCAGAGAGGGGCTAGATAATTCTGACACCACCAGCATGAGGAAGCTTGGTGCATTGTGCTTTTGCAAGAGATGTAGCCTTCTACTGTGCAGTTGAAGCAGATCATTGCAATAAGTTGTCGGAGATGAAAGAGTGGTCCCCACTGTGATTAACCCAACCTCTTTTCTCCCTCTAGAAAACCTGCTGACCTGCAGAACCTGGCCCCGGGGACGAACCCACCCTTCATGACGTTTGATGGTGAAGTCAAAACTGATGTCAATAAGATTGAGGAGTTCTTGGAAGAAAAGCTAGCACCGCCCCGGTACAGCATTGCTGTCCTTTCTTCCTGCTCATAGCCCAAGCTGTGAGAAAGTGTCTGGGAGCAGTGCCTCCAACCTGATTGCAAACTGGGGAGGCCTGACAGTGTGTGGCATGTATCCTAGGGTAGCCCTGACTGCTGGCTGTGCTCTTCCCACTGCCTTTGCCTTCACCTCAAGTTCTTAGTTGCACCACTACAATCATTTTCAAGACATGAAATCCACCCTCCTGCAACAAGTATATGCAGAAACCTGCATACCACTGCAGAAACCTGACCTCTTGTGTTTATTTGAGGTTTCCCTCCTCACATTGTACAAATAATTCAGGGAACAGGTAGTAGAAAGAAGCAACAGTGGAAGCCTGCCACACTGCAGGAGTGCTGGGGCACAGACCATTGCAGCTTATTTTGCGTGGCTAGGTAGGATAATCTCTGTGTGTGCTGCAGGCTGGGTTTCGGACCTGTCCTCATCCCAGGAGCAATCCTCACCTCTCCCCACATCCTCTGCCAGTGGTGTCATTCCCCCATGCAGGCACCTTTTCCTTCCCAGGACAGCAGCTGCCCGTTCAAGCAGCCTAACTTGACTCGAGCTATGCGAGCCGCTATGTGAGCAGCTACTTTTTCCTCCTCTCTGCCTGTAGCAGCAGCAGTGACTGGCCTGGCCACTCTGAGCTTGCTCGTGCATGTGCAGGACAGGCGAGGAGGCTGGGAGGAGCAGCAGTTAGTGGTAGTGGGGTCTTTTCCCTTTGCTCTTCCTCACGGCTCTACTCAGCCTCACTTCCAACATAGACAAATTGGAAGAGGCACTGGGTTGCTCAGGCAATGGTTGCAGCAAAACAGTCATTTCCCATCTGCCCCAGGAGCAGGAGGTGAGCCAGGTGGTTCGGGTAAGAGGTGAAATTCACACTTAGAAACTGGTTTTTAGCTTAGGATGGTTCTCTTTGAAAGCCCTGAGTAGCCATATATTGTAACAACTTCAGTTTCAGTGATATATATATGAAGTAATTAGTGAAGGTGAAAGTAAAGGCTAATCCATAATTTTTTGATTCTTTCAACTCCTCAGGTATCCCAAACTTGCACCGAAGCACCCTGAGTCTAACTCTGCAGGAAATGATGTGTTTGCAAAATTCTCTGCATTCATAAAGAACCCAAGAAAAGATGCTAATGAAAGTAGGTGCTACAATCCTTCTACCTGTCCTGATATAAGTTAGTCATGCAACTCCTGTGTCCTACAGCTCCATCTCCACTGTTGCACACCAGCCCCATCCCCTGTGAACACCCCAGCCAACCCTTGCTGAGCCCTGCAGTTTCTGGTAACACAGACCCAGTTTGGTTTTTCTCAGAACCCCCTTTAGCTACTTAGAGCTTTTATCCCAGCATTACATTTTAAGCTTTTGGATAAAGGAATTGCAGGAGTTAGCATGGCTGGGTATCTGCGAGCTGGGCTGGTGCCAGGAGACAGGATGCAGTAGGCGCCTTTCTGCTTGGTGTCAGAGAGACCTTGGTACAGGCTTGAACGATCTTTTTATTGTCTTAACCTAGATCTGGAAAAATCTTTGCTTAAAGCCCTGAGGAAGCTGGACAACTATTTAAATAGCCCCTTGCCTGATGAAATTGATGCTTATAGCACTGAGGAGATCACTGTGTCCTGCCGGAAATTCCTGGATGGAGATGAGCTCACCTTAGCAGATTGCAACCTCCTACCAAAGCTCCACATAATTAAGGTTTGCATTTGCTTTTCAGCCTCCTGAAGAGAAGGGCAGCCTAGAAGCTCAGCTTCTTTTCTAAAAGGCAGAGGAAGTCTGTCTTTTTTGAAGCCACAGAGTAGCTGTGTATGGACAAGGAGTGCTAACGCACAAGGCCATTTCAGTGCAGCACAGCTAGGCAGATCTTCACATTGACAGCTGGAGCTGGAATATCTGGTTTCATATTTGGACTACTATTTGACTACTTTCTCTACGCCTCTCACAAATATTAAATGGGTACTATATTCAGTGCTGTAGAGAAATATTTCTATTTGCATTTCACATGCAAAGTGCCACAGACCGATAAGATTAAATGATCTTGCTCTTGCTAAATGAAGAAAGCAGCGATTGCTGAAATTTGACCAACTCTCTCACCTTTAATCCCTGGGCTTGTCCTGGGGTCCCTGGGCTTCTTCAGCCTGGAGAAGAGAAGGTGGCAGGATGACCTCAGTGCAGCCTTTCACTACCTAAAGGGAGCCTACAAACAGAAGGGGAGTCAACTTTTTACAAGGATAGATAACGGCAGGACAAGGGGAATTGGCTTCAAGTTGAAGGAGGGAAGATTTAGGTTGGATATCAGGGGGAAGTTCTTTACAGAGAGAGTGGTGAGGTGCTGGAACAGGCTGCCCAGAGAGGTTGTGGATGCCCCATCCCTGGAGGTGTTCAAGACCAGGTTGGATGGGGCTGTTGGCAACCTTGTCTAGTATTAGATATGGAGGTTAATTGCCCTCCCTGCAGCAGGGGGGGTGGAGCTTGATGATCCTTGGGGTCCCTTCCAACCCAAGCCATGTTACGATTCTATGATTCTGTATGTGTAATACAATTTTTCTTTTATTTTCTTTATAAAAAGGTTGTTGCAAAGAAATACAGAAATTTTGATTTCCCACCCGAAATGACGGGGATTTCAAGATACTTGAATAATGCATATGCAAGAGATGAATTTACAAACACTTGTCCTGCTGATCAAGAAATCGAGTATGCGTATTTGGATGTTGCAAAGAGAATGAAGTAAATGGAAGATGTTTCCCTTCTTTTATACTTCTGAGATTTTATGGGCATCAGCCAATATGGAAACAAAAAAAAAGCCAGCACGCATTCTGCAGTGCAATTTTAACTTTTGTTATTGGCCAATCCTTCTTCTGTAATAACTGTGTAGCACTGTTTGCTTGTTCTTAAATGATGTATGTGCATCTGTGTCTGTACAGATGTACACACACAGGAATGTGTGTTATGCACTCCAAGTTAAAAGCATCAGTCAGTACTCAGGCTTTTGCTGAAGGTAGAGAACCAGCATAGGTCACAATTATAGCAATATTACAGACTAGCGACATGCTAAATGACTGAATTTAGTGAAGAAATAGCCCTGTTCCTAACACACATGTAACCTGTCATTACTGCTGCCTCTGATGTGTGTTTCACAGCTGTTGCCAAATTTCGCAGTTCCCGGGAAGGTTTCTGCTTGCTTCTCCCCAGGCCTCGGCGGCCCCATGCCAACAGTTGGCACACATGCAGTACCCTGGTTAATCCAGGAGAGAAGCCAGACTGGAGGTGGGACCACACCTGGCTTCCCAGAAGCCCTCTCCTCTGTGCTAGAGACCTGCAGGGCAGGTCAGTGAAGAACAACTTGTCCTCACGTTGCATGAACTGTCTTTGGTATGAAAGAAAGTAATTAGAAAGATCCCGCCTTCTCCTCTCTCAGGGCTGCATAACCCATCCAGCTTCCTTCAGACAAAGAGAGGAATGCAGACTGTCACTGGCCCATGGATTATTTGATAACAAATATCTGACAAGGGAGGAGGCAGAGGCTTGGTTGTCGCTGCAGACTCAATAAATGGGTGAACATCTGCCCCCTGTTACTGGTGCAGAATCCCTCTGTCATCCTTTTGTGACTCCCATTTGGTTTTGGAAAGCAAAGAAGAGGGTTTAAGAAAGCTTGTTGTCCTTTTATGCTTCCCTTTCTGGATTTACTTGCAGGGTTTGCATTTTCCCAAGCAGTCACAAGGACTTCTTTGCTGAGAGCTTTCCAAATGTCCAGGCGTTGTCCCACTGAGGACAACAGAGGCATAGCTCCTGCCTGGGGGATGGATGAGATGAACCTCTCCAGGCGGGCATGACCCTGTGTTCATGGTACTACTAACAGATATTCTCTGGGCTTTATGGAACATGCTGTTGGAGAGGTATCAACTCTGAAAAGTCACATCCATGGCTGCTTCTTGCTGAGCAGGTCCTCAGCAAGCACCTAAGAGCAGAGGGTGCAGTGGTTTAGTCATAGGGTCATCTGGAAGTTTCCTTCTGATGCGTTTTGCCTGTATGTACAAAATAGACATGGAAACAGCTAAAAATAGCTTTTGTAGCACCTACGTCCATACAAAGACTGATACAGAATAGCCATTCGTCTTTGCCTGAGTTAAACATAGGCTTGCTTTCTAACAATGCATTACTTAGGGTAATAGTAGGTGTTGGGTGTATGGTGTCTGTGGCTTCCTCTTACACACTACACAGTTCTTTTGCAAATATCCTAGCATGATTATTTGTAAGCAGTGTTAAACACACAATTTTAGTTTCTCTAGCTTCTCTACAGAGAGAACAGGCACAACACCTTTCCCTTACAGCCTCTGTTGTGAGGTTACTCACTGGGGTTGGTAGCTGAGCAGTCACTCTTCATTTCTTACTAACTGTTACTTTGTATTTTCAACTACGTACCTGAATATATAATAATATATAAAATAAAAATCTGTATACTCTTTTCACATGCCTTACAAATTTAAATAGAAAATATACAAATCCATGAGTAATTTGAGCAGTGTTCTGTCTTTATTTCCATAGTAATTTCCTGGCAAAGATGCTTTGCAGCAGTGGCCTGGATTTCAGCAGGCAAGATTTAACCCAACTTTGGTTTGTTTTGGAGGAACGGTGTCTCAAACCTGCAGTTGGATCTGGGAAGCAATGCACACAGACTGTGTTCCTTACTGCTGAATAAAAATACAAAGGGTCAGTGCATAATCCCTGACCTTGGGGCCACCTAGCACAAAGCACATTCCCTCTGCTGGGGACTGGCCTTGTTTTAACAGTGTGGTCTGGGAAAGAGGAGGTTTTGATGGTTCCCTTACTGCTCATACCCATGCAGAAGTTTGTGGCTCCAGCTCTCCACAATGGGTTGCTGTCTCCACAAACGTTGCTATCTAAATCAGCAAATTTTGGTTGATATTTGCATATTTCAAGCAACACAGGGAAGAGACGTGCATAGAGAAGTTGTAGAAATGACCCAGTGTGTCAGCAAACTGCAGTTACTTCATTTGCCTAGGATAGGAAGAGCTAAAGTGCTTGCATAGTCCTGCAGTGTGTGGAGCCATACCTATTACGTTTTGAATGTCTAATTCCACCCCCTGAACATGTTTAAGGAAAAGCTGTTGTCCACCTTTGAGTTGCTCTATTTTGAAAAGACCATGGAAATACTTGTAAATTTACTGGAGAACAAATAATATGATATAAAGGGAGAGAGAAAGCAAGTTGTGTTGTTAATTATATCACCACCTGACCGAGCAGCCTTGACAAGGTGTAATACCTAGATACAGATTTGCAGTGCTTGACCCCATGTAAAAGCAGAGATTATGTTCAATTATTTTAAGGCATGCCTGTGCAGACAGAGCTACTGATTTCCAAATGCTTACGAGCACAAGAAGTCTTCTCTGTAACATTGCTTGTATAAAATTTGTTTTTATTGTTATCGTTTTAAATACCAATGTCTGTATTTCCCCTTTAAACATCTACTATATTCAAAGAATACCTGCTCAGAATGTGAATTATTTTTTCTTCTGTCACCTGTGTAGAAAGTTCTTTGGGTTTGAAGACTTTTTTTGTCAGCTTCAGTATCTCAGATAGTCTTCAGAATGACCCATCAACTTGGAGGTTAAATACTACTTGTGCTCAATGCAGTAATTCCAAAAGCATGCTGGAATAAAATCAAATACATGGTAATTAACTGTAACATATTTCCCCCAATGCATTTCATTTTTGAAATAGCTTCAAAGCACTGAAAAATGAAACCTCATGAAAGCAAGTCGGTATCCATCGTCGGTATCAACATGCTATTTGTTTGAGTATAAGCAAATATCTAAATCCCAGGAGCTCCTTACAGCTGGTTGAAGTTTAGCTTAAAAGCCACACCCGGTGGTTATTTCTAAGCTGTCAAGAACCAGTAATCAAGTGGTGAGGTGAGGCATGACCCCCAAAAGGTCAAATCAACAAAAGCTATCAAAAACAGGGTAGAGCCTTGACTAGGCTGAGCCTTCACTTCATAAGTAAACTTTCCTCTAAAGTGGCCACCACGAGTGCTGCTGTTGCTCAGTCACTCTTGGCCTCACAGATGCTCCCTGTGGACCCTTCAAAGCTACTCAAAGAACACTCACCATGACTTTACTGATCACACATGGGATATGCTGCCCTAAAAACTGAATTTCCTGGTGAGCTATTCTGGATAGCTGGCAGAGATGGAAGAGCAGAGATTTGCCTCATGGCTCTCTACTACGTTCTCTAGTCAGCAGTACTAAATGGCACCATATTCCTGAGCTACCCTTAGTTTTCTTATGAGACAGAAGGCCAGACTTATGTCCTGCTTCTGAGCTATGGGGTAAAGCAAACTTCTGGATTCCCTAAGTGATGGCTCAGATCAGCACTCAGTTTTCCGTCATCTCTGAACTGCAAAGAAGCGAAGATTTTGGACTCCTGAAGACCTAAATCTGACTCGTGCTGATTAAGTTTTTATTGACTAGCAAAATGCAAACAGAAAAATCTCGTCTGGAAATGAACTGATGGAAATCAGAGTTTTGTTTCAAAATCTGAAATTTGTCCAACTTTTAGATAAAACCAATGAACTGAAATCAAAATAAACATTTCTTTTGAAAGCTGAAGGCAATTGTTTTTCTTGGGTTTCTTCTCTTTATCATTCCCATTTATTTATTTATTTATTTTCAGTGATGAAAGGGGAAAAATAAGAGATAGAAGTGTTGGAGAGGGGAAGAAAAGCAAAGAGAACAGAATACCAAACCTTGGTATTTCAACTCAAGACTAAAAAGTAGCACAACCTATAAACCAAAAGTGTATCTTCTGCTGAAAAATACAGTTGCTTTCATCTAATTTGACGTTGTCTTTTCTTTTCAAAACATTAGGACCTGTACCAAACCACTCAGTTCTCTTCACTAAGTGAAGAAAAGCTTTTCCTGATGACGAAAACTCTGCTACTTTTTTGCCTCTTATGCTATGCTCACAGGAAAGATTGCAAGGAGTTTGACCTTGCACATGTTGTATGAAGGATGCTATGCATCCCACTGCACAGACACAGCGTACAAGCTCTGCATGCCTCATATGTAACCATGCTGTAACAGATAAGAGTGTTACAAGCCTCTCTGCCTAAAGATGCCTGAGCTAACGGCCGGCAAGATGACAAGGATGTGTCCATGCAGTAAGAATACTGACTGCAGTATCTTGTGTGGATGGAAAGTACTACCACTACATCCATAGGCATCCTCCTAAAGGTGACTTCTCTGCTGGCGTTAGCAAAATCTCCTCCGAAAAACCTCAGATCACTGTGGATGTAATTTGAACTAAACCATAGATCTCTCCCCACCTCCTCCCTCCCTCCTTCAACTATCTCATTCTAGATCAAGTACATGCCTTAAGAAATGCAGTAGCAAAGGCACACTCAGATAACTGCATCAGAGAACTGATAAAACTGTCAGTCTGCTGAAACACAGCTAGTTGGGTGGCAATTCCTAATCAGGTTTCCACTGTGTCTGCTGCAGAGTTGAGAGCAGCTACAGCTGTTGCCCATATTCCTGCACACTCATGATGCCCATTAGTTGCCTTGGCTCCTACAGAAACACAGAGGAACCACAAGTTCACTGGCCCTACGGTGTGCTTAGTAAGTGAGGTAAACATCTCCTGCTGTGCTTGAACCCTACTTTAAGAAGATTCAGGAGATTCTGCCCAAGCGTGGCTTCAGGCAGGGCTGAAGCGTTCTCAGTGTGCATAAAAAGGGACCATGAACCCTTGTCACAAATGGAAGGCTGTTAGGCTCATCTCATACTCACAGAACTGAAAGTGGCACAGAGACATGTTTCTTGTCCAAGGACACGTGAGGCAAACTGATGAAATTAGATCTCTCTCACTTCACAACCAGGCAGGGGAGAACTTTCCTGAGAGTGACTTTGTTATAAGTACATGGGGAGATGTGCAGTTCTTCATTAATGTAAAGTCAGATCTGATTCAATTTGGTAATCATAGAATCACAGAATGGCCTGGGTTGACAAGGACCACAATGATCATCCAGTTTCAACCCCCTGCTGTGTGCAGGGTCGCCAACCAGCAGACCAGGCTGCCCAGAGCCACATCCAGCCTGGCCTTGAATGCCTGCAGGGATGGGGCATCCACAGCCTCCTTGGGCAACCTGTTCCAGTGCCTCACCACCCTCTGTGAGAAAAACTTCCTCCTAACATCTAACCTAAACCTCCTCTGTCTCAGTTTAAAACCATTCCCCCTTGCCCAATCTTCTCCTTAAGTTGAAAAGTGTTCCTTGTTACTTTGTTGAAAATTTTTATGAGAGGACTATGAACAGATATTGATTGGATTCACACAAAGCTTATGGTTGAAGTGGAACCCATGCTTAACATCTGAACCGGGCAGAGAGTAGATCCGACAAACCAGAATGGATTGAGGAAACAGTAATTTGTAGCATGACACCATGGCATACATGAATCAAGCTACAAAGCATTCACCTTCTGAAACTAGAACATGACTTACAAGTGTCAGTAAGAGAAATTATTGAATCTCTAAATGTAATCTCTAATTCTCTAAGATAAAAAAGCAAAAGATGACTGATCCAAATAGATGTCAATGGAAATACTGTGGCTTGCGGCTTTGACTCTTGTTTAAAGCCCTCCACCTCCCTGGGTGGATTTTTGCTTCTAGTCATATTAAAATGTGACCTCTGCCCTGCAGATATTATTCTCTCTTCAGTATTTGAGTCATGCTGTGTCACTAGCATTGAATGATAGGGCAAGTTGTATTAGAAGTAAAACATACGGAACTAACAAAAGAGGTGTCATTAAAATAACACGAAACCCATCTACAATGACATACAGCTTGCAGTAAGTTTTTTATAGTTTGCTCTTGTCTTCCATTTTGAATTTCATCGTAGAGAAGCATCTGCAACAGACTGAATGCTTGCATGCTTGTAAGACTTTCTGGTGGGGAGTCTTTGAAACACATCAGTGTAAACATTTCCTTTTATAAGGAAGTTGATTCCTTAGAATCAAAATATTTTGCTAGAGGATACATGTAGGACTGAAGCTTCCTTCATGTTCCTTGTTCCACCTCCTCTTTCCCCAAAGTCCTTCTACAACACACAGACAGACACACAGACAAACATACAGCCTGTCTCTTAACTCAATCATATCCTTTCCTTAGAAAAATACACTTAAAACAACAATCAAATAAATACAGAAGACCCTTACCCCATTCAAAAAGGTCCCTGACCCTTTTTATTACAGGATTCTTACATAGGGGAAGGCAGACACAGAATCAGATATATAAAATCTTTGCAAAATCAGTAGCAGATATGCAAATCTCTTTTTGAGAAAACACTTTCTGACATTTACCTTTGATTCCACTGATGTTAGGGTCTGCTGCCGGACCGGCACTTTTTCGTGCCTTGTCAAACACTGATAATAATGTCAGGATCCTTTCTTGTTCA